AGAATCTCTGAGTAGTATACTTTCATCTCGTCTTTTGGGTATATATTTAATGCGTTCATTCTTCACTTTAATTCTTTTTTTGAAATGTTATGAATTACTGGAAGAAGAAAAAAAATTCTAACCATGTATCTATCACATCATTTAAATATGAGACATGTGTTGACTTCGACTTCAAAAAATAATGAGACATGTGTTAACCATGTATCTATTCCCATCCTACCCAAATAAGCCCAAATACGGATCCAACCCATCCTTTATTGGTTAAATCCCAAATTCGTGACTTATGTAATAAGTTATCTAATAAGATGTCTAACATCACTTGTATCTTGTACAATCATGACTATTTTTACTTTTATATTAATATTGACCTAATAAAGAAATATACGATTCACCAGTTTTATTATACACCATGTACCATGTTTTAAATTCCATGATTTACATAAATAATAAATTCCAAAAGATTTTTGAGCAATTCTAAGCAAATGGCGTGATAAGTTTAATATACTCTACTTGTTATTAGTGTCAAAATGTATAATTTATTCGTAAAATATATAGCTAGATTGCATGCAAAGCAAATACATTTTGAAATCATAGTTTTATGTTGTGATATAATGATGAGTATACAAAAAATGTAAAGGGTGTTTTGCTTGTGATTGGTACGGACTTTGAATTTGTTTACCTGATTTCTACATTTTAAATAGACACTATGATGTACACAATATATGTTTTTTATAAAAGTTTTTGGGAAGTTGACTTGAAAAGGCGCTTTTCACCTTTTGGATTAAAAAAATTGAAATGAGTATTTTCAAGTGATAGTCTCTATTTAAATTAAGGATTTAAAATCTAAAAGCTAAAATGGTGTTTTAAACTGCTTTTCACTTTCTCTATTACACAAAAAAAAATACTTATTTTACCAAAACATTATTACCAACTTTTAGTTTTTCAAAATCACTTTTTTTCTCATACACTAACACTTTTATTATATAACACTTTCTCCAAAATCACTTTTTAAAACAATCCCAAACACTCCTTTAACATGGTAGCGGCTAATACCTATTCCAACTTCTTACAAAAACTAAACATTATTTAGGTATAAAAATGTTTGTAATATACTAACTTTTCCTATTTTACCTATCTTGTTTTCCTTGTTCCAAAATAAGTGTTGTTACATTTCATTTTTGGAAATGAAAAATGTGATCTACAATATTTCACTTTTTTATACTCAAATCTCATTCACAACATTTACCTTTTCAACCATATTAGTAATAATTGTGTCAAACTAAAACTAAAGTACAACACATAAAATGGCACATATGTAACATGTGATACGAAACAAATATACGGAGTAATTGTTATTATATACTCCCTCCGTCCCGCTAAGATTGTCCCATTTTATCTTTTCAGGAAATCCCACTAAAATAGTCGAAGTATTACGCATAGACCTTTTTTTTAAACAAATCTTCAAAAGTACATGGTTTAATTTGCTTTTGGAACGGAGCATGTACATCTCTATCTCTATCTATCTCTATCTCTATACATACAAAAGCAAGTGGGATTGTAATTTATGTCATGTTTGTTTGTTTTCATAACCGCCGCTCGTTCCTGTTAGGAAATGAATCTTAGAAAAAAATCCTTATACTGGAATAAAACATGAAGAAAATGCACATATAGGACTATCATTGTTTTCCTTTTCAAATAAGACGTATTCAATCTTAATAGGGGAAGTTTTACACTTTTATAAGGATCAAATAAGTCTTATTTATGGATTAAAATACATGAAGTTTTATTTGTGCATTTTTGCTAAGTTTTAATCTTATTTAGAGCAATTTCTATTGAATCTTATTAATTTAGTCTTATTATTGTTACATACTCGGTACTCCACATAATTAATCATTAAGAGTACTAATTATGTCTTTAATTGGACTAATTTCAGTTTCCAGATCAAATGTGATAAGGCCTTGAAACTTATAAAATATACATAGACTAGACACATATCATATTATGACAGAACAGTTTTGACTAGACAAACTTAACTAATCAGACCAGATTCGGTAAATGTTCCCTGACATTTACCCCACCGATGAGTGATTTGCCTACTGGGACTAAAAAATTACAATTCAATTAAAAACATCCAATCATCTATCCATTTATCCATGAGACACTCTCAATGTCTATAAACTACTATAATATGGTTTTAGTGAAGTCGCAGCCTACTAAATCTTTATCAGTTAGCTAAAGTAGTCTTAGTGCATGTTCGATAGGCATAAATCTAGCTTATGTACTATTTATGTTTCTAAAAGCTTATGATTGTACTTTTGGCATTACAATAATTAAGAGTTTTTCAAAACGTAAAAGATGTTTTTGAGAAGCTACACTGAGTAGCTTTTATATAAATTAAAACTTGTATCTTTTAACATTAATTAGTCACAACAATTTATTATATCTAACTGAACTAAATCAAACAGATGGATTTTCATCAAACAACTATAACATTATGATTTTAAGATCTTTTCAGTCACTAAAAACAAACGGTTATTAAAAAGCTCACAATAATATATATTCAGTTATCTAGTTGTGCCAAACATACTCTTATAATACTCTTCACTACATTCTATCGATTACAAGAAACATTGTTTACTGGTCTTCCAGCATGTTGATCAGTTTTCATCTCAACTTCATCACATCCAAAAATCCTAAAATACCTACAAATGCAATGCTATATATCATCTAGTGACAATCGTAACACAAATCTACACAATTTATGTAATTCATGGTGCATGCAATGCCTAATATCCAATACGTTAATTTCAAATAGTTATAATGCATACATGTTTGGTTGGCAGAAGTCACCGCCTTCTAACTTTTGTATTGTTTAAAAAGTTTTTGAAAGTTTTTAATTACATGTTTGACATGTCAATATTTAAGAGCTTTTAAAAAAACAAAAGATCTTTTTTGAGATGCTACAGTCATGAGTCGTAACATCTGAGAAAATCATGTAGGTGTTAGTATTAATTAGTCCTATAAGCTTGTATACCAAACAGAATTAAATCAAACAGTCATTTTTTTGTCAAACAACTACTACCTTTTACTTTTAAGATTTTCTTACTCACTAAAAGCTACTTCCTCCGTCTCGCTAGAAGATTCCCGTTAACGGTTTACGATGCTTGACTGACGATAAAGCAACTTAATCCCCGTTCACACTCTAATTAGTTTTAGTAAATAAAATTAATATATTCAGAAACTACATTAAAACCACTACAAAGGCTAATAAAAAAATGTAAATTTGATAAAAATTTGATTTATAAAGTAAACGATTAAAAATGATTTAAGTTGACCATGCAAATAGTGGACGGGAACCTTCTAATGGGACGGAGGTAGTAGCAGTTACCAAAAAGCTAATAAATGTATCTTTTCGGCTAGTTATGTCAAACATACCCATAGACTCATAGTCTGATGTCTAATACATATTGAATTTTAATGTATGACTAATTCATATATATATACATGAATACACCCCCAAATATGATTGACCTAATTACGGTGCTTGCATCCTATAGAGTAAAATAAGTAAAGAATATCATAAACATTACTTCCCTTATTTGGGATTCATTCCTAATAAAATGTTATATAAAAGAGAAAATTTCCTAAGTAACTAAGTAAGAGCAAAATATAATATTGTTTCACAAATAAGGGTGTCATTATAATTTTCTTCTCTAATAAGACTATTCACTTCTATTTTAAAAATTTTTAATGTATCCATTTAATCACATATTCGACATTATTTCAAAATTATACTACGTATTTTGAATAGGATTGAAGTTAAGATAATAGGAACGGAGGACCAATAGACTCAATTAGGAAGTGAGGGGAAGAAATAAATGTACACGACTTTTGGGCTGAAATATGTTCACTCTCATTTCAGATTTGGTCCACTTTCCCACTCTTTTTGTGTGATATTGACTGGTTCAGGGTTGGGAATTTTAGAATTATGGCCCAACCGCCCAAGCAATAGTTTATGGCTTTGTCCGCACCAGTAATGCGTAGTTCTCTTTTATTGGGAATTTTGGAAATATGGCCCAAACACCGAGAGTTCTTTACCGCTACTCCCTCCATCCCATTTTACTTAAGCAAATTTGGTTTTTCAAGTCAATAACGTCTAACTTTGAGCGGTTAAATGTTTATATAGAGAAAGTATTAATAATATGAAAATGATATTAAAATGTTTTTTATTAAAAATATCATCATAAAAGTATAAAATATTAAATTTTGCATAAATACATTAGTTTAAATCACTGGTCAAAGATTACCACTTTTGACTGGAAAAGTCAAAGATGGCTAAGTAAACACCACACTATACTTTTGACCTCGCTCATTTCACACATTATGGAGTAATGCATAAAGAAAATCTTGAGTATACTACATCCGTCTCATTGAACTTTGTCAATTTTTCTTGTTTGATTATTCAAAATTCTTTGTCACTTTATCATTAAAATAACTAAATTATTGTTTTACTCATTTTTCTCATCCACACAACTTTTTCTTTTCTTATTTCTCACCCAATTCGAAGTTGGCAATGTACACGGAGACATAAATAATATATGTTACATTGATTATCTTATTCTAATTTAGCAACTTCTACAACAATAAATAATTAGTATAATTCACTCAAAATCAATATATGTAGAGAAAGAGAAAAATTCAAACAGTGACAACATTATCTCAAACAATTCATGAGCTAGTCTTTTACCGAGATGTTGCACTCAGTATCAAATTTAATAGAATTATTAGAGGCTTAGTATTGTACATTACATTAAACTCTCTTTAATATAAATATATCTGTCAGGGCTCCTTAGGGAGTAACTTTTTCCATTATTCTCACATGGTATCAAGAGCACTATAATTTTTTTCGATTCTCTCACTAAACCCTAGCGCCGCCGCCTTCTCTCCTTCGGCGTCGCCACCCTAGCGCCGCCGCCGCCTTCTCTCCTTCGGCGCCGCCAGTCAACTTCAACATGCCGACAGCCGCTTCCGCTTCCTTCAGCACGTCGACAACACCGGGCCAACCAACCGCCGCTGCGCCGATCACCTCAGTCACCACCACTGGGGCACCTCCCTCTTTTGGATCGCTGCCGGCAATATCCTCCGTCTCTTCCGGTGTGACTTTCTCCTCCAACTTTACATCACCAAGCCGGGTATCTATGTCATACTCTTTGTTTCAGCATGTACCACCGGTGTTCCCTTGGTCGGCTCCAATTCCCGTGCAGGCTGTCCCTCTAGAGCCGCCGCCCCTCTCGGCCGGTCCTTCCTTTGCTGGCCCCACCTTCGTTGGCTCACCTGGTGTATCCTTCGTTGTTCCTCCCTCTCGCACACCCGCAGGCAGCCCAGCCGGATCACTTCTCGCTGATTTGGCTCAAACAATATCTCATGTGTGGCCACCAATGTCACAAATATTGTGACTACTAAACTATTGGCGGTAGAAGACTACACCACTTGGAGGACACAATTCGAATCGTTTCTAGTTTCACAAGCTCTATTGGGCATGGTTGATGGCTCCATTCAGGTACCCCCTGCTTTTTCCATAGATGCTCTTAACCGTCAAACTCCCAATCCCGAACTTTCTACTTGGTTGAGAATTGATCAAACCATCCATTCATGGTTATTTGCAACCCTATCTTGGGATGTTCTTATCGATGTGCGTGATTTAAAATATTCATATGAAATTTGGGAGCGGTTAAGATCTCGGTTTATGTCTGCCAGTTTAGCCAGATCTATGGTATTAAAGCGCTTATTTGATCTAATAAAAAAGAAATTTGATCAGTCCATGGATAATTATTTGCGAGAAATTAAAACATTAGCTGATGATCTTGCCACAATCAATTTCCTTGTGCCTCCTCGTGAAATTTTAAAGACTACTATTATGGGACTGGGACCTGAGTATGAATCTTTATTCACTGTTGTGTCATTATTTGGACAAAATTTCCCGTTTGAGACTCTTCGTAATCATCTTCTTGAGTTAGAGCAGCGGGTCCTTTATCTCCGCTCCCAGGAGTCCTCGTCCTTCCATCAGGCATTTGGCACGACTGTCTCTTCTCCTGGACAGTCGTCTGCCCAACAGATGAATCAGTCACATTCGAGGTCTACGCACCCGGTCGGGCAGCAGGCATACCCGGTCGGGCAGCAACGACAGTTTGGCGCTCCATAGCGCGGACAAGGTCGCGGTCGCGGCAGAGGCCGCGGAGGCAGGGAGCGCGGTCGTGGACAGCAGCAGCAGGCATATTGATACTCCCAGGGGCAGTCGGTTTATTACCCCGGAGGGGGTGGTCAGCCGAGTACACCTGCAGGGGGTGTGACATCTACGGGTACTGTTATTTGTAATTCTGCTGTGTCACATTTAAATATTAATGCTTTACCTATCTGTGTTACTAACCGTAGTTCTGCAGGCTTGCCATCAGATGGGGGTATTCTTAGGTCTGTTCCCCATCCTGTTGTCTGTCAAATTTGCTTTTTTGCAGGTCATTCGGCCATTAATTGTCCTTCTCGTTTCACACAAGCGTCCGCCCCTGCTCTGTTGAATACTCCCAGTGACACTACTCCTGCTCTATGGTTTCCTGATTCAGGAGCCTCTGCTCATATGACTGCATCTGAAGGTATTTTAGTTAATAAATCTCCCTACATCGGCTATAATTCCGTTAGTGTTGCCATTTGTCATGTTGGTGATGTCGCATTACCTACGTCTGGTCGTCCTCTCACTTTAAAATCTGTTTATCATATGTCTCAGTTAAAATATAATTTAATTTCAATTAAAAGGCTTTGCGTTGATAATAATTGTACTGTAATTTTTGATAAAAATTCTTTTTTATTAAGGACAAAGCAACGGGGGCACTGCTTCTGTGAGCTACCAGTAGTGGACCACTTTATCCTATCAGTCTGCCGTCATCATCACCATTAGTTTTTGCTTCTATTTTAGTTTCTGATCCTATGTGGCACCGTAGATTAGGTCACTGCGGTAATAGTATTTTACAGTTTCTTAAGAGAGAACAATCCTTATGTAGTCATACTCCCTTTACCCATGAGTGTGTGGCTTGTCAATTAGGAAAATCACAACGTTTGCCTTTTATGGATGCTAGTCATAATTCTGTTTCCCCCTTAAAATTATTCATTCTGATGTGTGACAGTCACTTGTGTATTCAAATTTGGGATTCAAGTATTATGTGTGTTTCATTGATGATTTTTCTCGTTATACTTGGATATATCCCATGTGTCACAAAAGTGAGGTTTTTATGCACTTTAAAAATTTTAAAGCTTTGGTTGAAAATCTTTTTAATCAGAAAATTAAAATTTTTTAAAGTGACGGGGGAGGTGAATTTGTTAATCACAATATGCAACAATTCTTTTCTGCTAATGGCATTTATTTTCAAAAATCTTGCTCTGACACACCTCAACAAAATGGGGTTGGTGAGCGTAAGCATCGTCATTTACTTGAGTTAACTCGGACCATGCTTCTTGAGGCTTCGGTTCCGAGTCACTATTGAGTCGATGCCATCTTCACCGCTGCATATATTATTAATAGATTACCCTCTCCTACCTTAAATGGCTTTTCTCCATACCAAAAACTTTTTAACTGTGTTCCAGATTACTCCTTTATGCGAGTATTTGGTTCTGCCTGCTATCCAAATTTTTCGGCCACCTCAGCTAATAAATTATCACCTCGTTCAGTTCAGTGTTTTTTCTTGGCTATGCATCTAGTTATAAGGGCTATCGTTGTTTGGATCCTATCACAGGTCGAGTCTAGCCCAGTGGGGAGCATGCCTTCCAGCCTAGTGGGGAGCTTGCCTACCGGCCCAACCAGAAGCCTGCCTTCCAGCCCAGCGGGGAGCCTACCTACCGGCCCAACCGGAAGTCTGCCTTTCGGCCTAGCGAGGAGTCTGTCCTCCAGTCCAGCGGGGAGCCTGTCCTCCGGCCCAGCAGGGAGCCTGCCTTCCATCCAGCAGAAGCCTGCCGCCCGAGGAGCTCAAGCGTTCTGCCTGCTAGCCAGGCCGACCTGCTAGCCAGCCAGGAAGAGTAACGACCAACAATCAATGCGCTATTAATTATCTATTTAATTTCGTATTAATGTTGTAATTAATTTAGTCATTATTATGTTCAGCAGTTACCATTTGTAATCGCCTATAAAAGGCAATTCAAATTTCAAATACAGATATGCTATTTATGGCAACTTAACACTTTTAGCTTCTTTCCTTATTCGCATTATTTTCCTGATTTCCTGCTTGAGTGTCGTACGTAGCTTTCCTAAAAGCCTACGAGCGTCCTATTTTGGACCAACAATAACTCTTCTTGACTATAAAATTGAGATAATTGATAATTTAATGAATCTTTTTAACCCTCTCCTTACACATAATTCCTTGAGAGATTCATCAAAATATTTCCTGAGTTAACTTTCATCTGACATGCTCTGGTGTATTTAAGTGTAGTCTAATATGGTCTGATAAATGTTAGTTCAATGCATATTTTACATCTATTGATCAAAGTGTGATCTGATCTGTCTAGTCTAATCTTTTAAAGTTTGTCCTGTTCTAATGTGCTTTGGTTTGATTAGGAAGTGAAATAGTGTTCTAATTAAAAACACCAACAACAACAACATCCAAGCCTTAGTCCCAAAAGATATTGGGGTCGACTAACATGAATCGATACATGATATCACCACTTAAAGGAAAAGAAAGAAAATAAAGATAAAAAAGATAAGCTATTATAAGAAGCTAATATAAAAACAGATGAATATACATAAAAATGATAAAATAAAAAGATACAAATAATGCTTATATATAAAGATAAAAAAAAAGGAAAAAAGATGAGGGAAAAAGATGATACGAGATCACTCCTCCACACGAATACCCGTCCTCCACTTAGCTCTCTCCAAAGTCATGCCCTCATCCAACCCTAGAAGAAGCATATCACTTCGAACTCCCCAAACCCACGTCTGTTTGGGTCTTCCTCTCCCTCTCTTCCCTGCCTCTTCTCCACACATCTCAACTCGTCTGACAGGTGCATCACTCGGTCTTCTACGCACATGACCAAACCACCGTAGGCGCGACTCCCGCATCTTGTCTTCAATAGGTGCTACTCTCACTCTTTGTCTGATTGTCTCATTCCTCATGCGGTCCTTCCAAGTATGCCCACACATCCAACGCAGCATACACATCTCTGCCACACTCATCTTTTGAATGTGACATTGTTTCACCGCCCAACACTCTACGCCATACAGTAATGCAGGCCTAATTGTTGTCCTATAAAATTTACCCTTCAGTCTAGTCAGCATAAAAATCCTGACGCACTCTTCCACTTCATCCACCCTGTTGTGATTCTATGGGATACATCTCCATCTAACTCACCGTCCTTCTGAATTATGGTGCCCAAGTAACCGAACATAGCGTTGACTGGTATCTCCTTACCATCCAGAGTAATTACCACTGCTTCTACCTCCACCAAACTTGCACTTCATGTACTTTGTCTTGCTCCGACTTAGTTTGAAACACTTATTCTCCAATGTTTGTCGCCATACTTCCAACTTTGCTTTAAGACCTAATTGCGTCTCATCAATCAATACAATATCGTCGTCAAACATCATGCACCACGGTATATCGTCTTGAATTGACTTGGTAAGTTCATCCATGACTATTGCAAATAAGAAAGGGCTCAGATCCAATCCGTGGTGCACTCCGATAGTAATAGGGAACTCTTCAGTCCTCCCTACACTAGTACGAACACTTGTAGTACAATCCTCATACATATCCATGATGATGCTGATATACTTACGTGATATTCCTTTTCTAGTTAAGGCCCACCAAAGAACTTCTCGAGGTACCCTATCATATGCCTTTTCTAAGTCAATGAACACCAAATGCAGATCCTTATGAGCGTCTCTATACTTCTCCATTAGTTGCCGAAGAAGGTGAATATCCTCAGTTGTTGAGCGACCAGACATAAAACCGAATTGATTCTCTGAAATCTTCACAGTTCTTCGAAGTATTTGCTCAATCACTCGCTCCGAATTCTTGGTGTGACTCATAAGCTTAATCCCTCGATAGTTGGCACATTCTTGTGCATCACCTTTATTCTTAAATAAGGGGATAAGAGTACTCTTCCTCCAACTCGTTGGCATCTTGTTGTTTCTCCAAATCATGTTGAAGAAACTTGTTAATCACTCGACGCCTCTCTCTCCCAAACTTTTCCAAGCCTCGATCGGTTTGCCATCTGAACCCACTGCTTTCTTCCGTCCCATCTTCCTCAGAACTTCTTTAACTTCCGTTGTTTGGATCCTTCTCACAAAATCACGATTTACCATACAAGCTGGTATGGACAAATCACCGATATCTTGCGTTTTGTTCCCGTTGAATAGTGTATCAAAGTATGACCTCCACCTCTCTTTTATCCCTCTGTCGTTCATTAATATCCTCTGATCGACATCCTTCACACATTTAAAAACACCGTAAGTCTTAAAAGACGAATCAACGAAGCAAGATCATCGCAAAATATATCAAGCCACGCGCTCATTTGGGATTCCCGTCGTGAAAGTTATTTCACCGATTCAAAGACTTTACGTTGAGCGGATTAAGCATTTTGTATATTTGCTTGATTATACTTTGGTATTCTTATTAAATATTCTACACGAGTAGATATATGGCTAAGACATGCATGCCTTCAAATTTGTGGCATGCATTTCCAACATACAACTAAATTAGCACATTAGAAAAGGGAGGCATATATGCACTATATTCATGATATATATACTTAATTTTATGTGTTAGCGTCCAGATACATCACAAAATAAGGGACAACAAAACATAAAAATGTAGAAAATAATGTGTAATATAGCCACACAATCCTTTGTTGGTCCTATGTGTGTGGAATTGAATTTATCAAATGTACATTATTATTACTTGGCTGATAACATACGTATATAATTCGGTTAACAAATCAGGCAGATTCGATATGTTCGTTATTGTTTTAGTTTGTGCAGTACGTACAAATACATAGTCTTTCTTGTTGGTTTTTACGACTTTAATTTATTCAATCATGAATACATATGCATGTATTTCAGGACAAGTTAATAACAATATCATGTGGCCTGAGCAATTGCCATGCACATGCATGCTCCTACATTTAAGATTTAACAGTACCTCAAACGTACTAGTGTACTACATTTGATTTTTTTTTTTTTGCGACAATTTAATTTAGATTTTGGTTACATTCACCTAAAAAAACTAATTAATGGTCTTCCTAAGAACACTAAAAATAAATCTACTGCACTATATATAATCGAGGATTGAGGTATAATCGGTATATCATAGCTCCAACTCTGACCTCTAAAAGCTCGTTTGGTTACCCATTTTTCAGTTTATCAATCTTATCAGTTAATTCTATCAATATATTAATTTTACTTTTGATCGTACAAGTTTAAATTGTGTCAATTCCACATTTAGTCCACATCTTTCATTTTGTCCACTTTTGGTGCTTGACTAATGTTTATTGACCATTTTTGCTCCTTTTTGGCGATTTTAATTATAAGAAATATTGACAGAAGGACATAATATGGGTGAAAATATAATAGTCAAGTATAAAAAATGATCAAAGTTAAAGACGCTGAGCACTTTTGGAATTGGTGCGATACTCATGGGACCAAAAGTTAAATTAATTCCAATTCTTTTGCCAAACATTTATATTTTCATTCTGCGTGCTGAATTATGTAATAATTGAAATAAGGAAGGATGCAGTTCCTTTTCTGGATGTTATTACTTAGAGAGCAATTTTACATTTTTTTCATATAATTTATTCATAATTTTATTAATAAATTAATTGTATTTAAAGAAAATAATGTTTACTATTCAACTGTTTCAGTCAATTCAGCCACCTCAGGTAGAACTTTATCAATTTTAACTGATTCAATCAATTTGAGTGTTGACATACAGGTTCCAAATATGTCAACATGAAATTAATTGGACAAACATGCGGTGACAATTGAATAAATAAATTAGAGTCTTACATGCAGGGTCAGAGCTAGATATTAACATCGGGTGTCGAATAACATCGCTAAATATGTGCTAAATATGCACACCATTATAAAATGTGTAAAAAAACAAGTCATGTATATGAAACGTAAAGCGAAGTGCACAAATTAGCTACACTCCTCTATTGTCATTAACCAAGGTTTGATATTGAAAAAGGTGTGAATTCAAGTCATTTTAATTCATTCAATCATATTCCATCAAATATTGTATTTTTATTTAGTATGTAAAGTAATACTCCGTATATGCAATTATTCGGCGTGTAAATTTTGATAATGCCAAACTAGCAAATGTGTCATAAAAATCAAATATAATGGCTGGTCTAACAGAAACGTGTTAGTTTGGAATTTGAACCAAAAACAAATAACCAGTTCTTCGAATTTCTGCTGATACGAAAAAATGGATTCCGTTGCCGGGACTTGAACCCGGGTCTCTCGGGTGAGAGCCGAGTATCCTAACCAACTAGACTACAACGGAGATGTGATACTAAGTGCGGTTAGTTACAAAGACCTACGTTTTGTGTTAGAACTTCCATAGAAGTGTTGCGAGGATGTCAATTGTCAAAATTATCAAACCCAGTCTCTATGCATACACGGTTGATGAGGTGATCGCATTAGGGGAATGTTTGACACAACTGGCTGAAAAGATACTTTTATGAGTTTTTTAGTAACTGTTAGCTTTTAGTGATTGAAAAGATCTTAAAAAGAAAAGGCAGTATCTGTTTGGTAAAAAGCTGACTGTTTGATTTAGCACCGTTTGGTATACAAGTTGTTAAGACTAATTAATACTAGAAGCTACTGACTTATCTAAGATGCTACTCACTGTAGCATCTCAAAAAAGATCTTTTATTTTTATAAAATCTCTTAAAAAATGGCATGTCAAACATACAACCAGAAGCTTTTAAAGGCTTTTTAAACAGTACAAAAGTTAGAAGGCATGAACTTATGCTTGCCAAACATAGCCTATATGTTCCATCAAACATGGAGATTCAAACTGCTATATTAAGTTTAAATATTATGTCCTTAAATAAAAGTCTGTGTTTGATTTTTTGAATTAAACTTGTTAAACTTTGAATGCTAATTACTCAAAATTAATAACATTTTATTCCAAAAATATTATTTAGTGTTGTTCATTGTAATATGTATTATTCAAATGTCAATTTATTATAGAT